CAGACAGACAGACAGACAGACAGACAGACAGACAGACAGACAGACAGACAGACAGACAGACAGACAGACTAAGCGCTTTATAGTAAGTAGGATGATCTAAGGCTCAAGTGGAACCAGATTTCTCTTACAGAACCTTTGGTAGGCGATTACCTTATCGTTGTTACCTATCTGAGCTAGACAGTAACTGAGAGGTATGTAGGCATGAGAGGTTAGCGATTGCGTGGAGCAGTTTTTCTTTCAAAATTTCCCTCTTCGATTCTGGTTTGGGTGAATCCCATTAATTATGCTTTATTTTATTATTACAGGTATTTGAATTCGAACTCAAACGGTCTAGCAGCTGCAGCCGCCAATATTGGAAGGGGTGGAGATAATGGTGGGCGTCGAAGAGGAGCAACTTCTTCTAACAGAAGGACTAATCGGCCAAGTAGCGAACCCATGCAGGTACTTCAGTGTGATTTGAAAATTATTAAGGGGATCGTGGTATGTAGCTCTTGATTTCTTTCAGGGAAATGTCATGTGGTAATGAATATATTTACATATTTGCTCTGTAAACTGTTCTAAAGCGAAGTATTGGATTTTTTGGAATGAAATTACGGTAAAAACCGTCTTCACCTTCTGTGAATAGAATTAAGAAAGGGTAGATCTAGCTTGTAAGCTCAGAAATGAGAGATTTTTTAATGAGAACATAAGTTTTCGGTTTCCTTTTTTCCCCAGGAGAGCCTTTGCTTGTTCTTCGTCGCGACCACAGCCTTGCCGTCTAATCAGGTTCGAGGAAGGTATTAGGAAAGGTTCAGTGCTCGATGCGCATAATAATCTCTATGCTATAGTATTTTGAGTTTTTTTCAGCGGCACTCTCATTTAGTTTTTTTTTNTTTTTTTTTCTTATGGGTAGCCCGCCCGCTTATCAACCGAGTTTTTTTTGAAGGTCCCGGATCACGCAATACCTCTGGATGTGGCTCGACAGGCTCGTGGTAGAGGAAGTCGTGGACGGGGTCGCGGAGCAAGAGCTTCGAGTAAGTTCTTCTCTCGAGCCTATGAGTGTCAATTACGTGATACAACATTCCTGAAAAAGCCAATCGTAGGTAAAGGCGAGCGCTTTTTCTGAATTGTTTATTCAAATTTCAAAGTACACATATCGTTTGAAATGTGCCTCTCTCCCCCTTAGTATAAGATTTCAAGGTTCTTCCAGCGAGTCGCTTAATTTCTGTGATTTTCACGTCAAACGGGGCAGCTGTTAGAAGAACATAATCTGAACAGTGATCATTTGTGTTATCTATCATGACAAGACCATATTGGATGTATAGAAGGTGCGTGGCGCATCCTGAAGCATTGCGAGAACTTTGCTTCATTTTGAAACTCCCCAAAGTAAAGCTTCAAGAGAATTTGCGCGTGTAGTGATGTTCTGACTTAGCAATATCTTACCGAGGCCTCACTTCTGTCATTTTTTTTATTTGTAATTTTTTATGTCGGCGGAGGTGGTGTAGTGGCAAGTGGCGCACTATATAACACGCACGATCAGGGGTTTGAATCCTGGATCGATGCCCGCCTAGGCCAATCAAGCCTTCCATCCCTTCGGGGTCGGTTAATCGGTACCAGACTCGTCTGGGAGGATAAAAGCACTGACTTGTACATCGACTGGCCACCTCAAGTCATTGTATAGGCCAAATACGCACTCATTACGCCACTACGATTCTGAATGGAATTTGGGTGCGGGGGCGCATTCCTCAGACGGGAATGATTAACGCCAAAAACTTTATCTTTTATCCTTTAATTTTTTATGTCTACCGTACTACTTGTGCCAGTATAGGTCGACGTCAGGCTTCCATACTTTCAAAATGTCCCTATAAACCCTAAAATGGAAATAGTCAACTTATATATTTTTATATCAGATAATAACTTTGGAGACCGGAATGGCAGTGCAGGACGACAATCGAGAGATAACGGCACTGGTACTAGGCAATGTACTTGTGGATTAGATGCTGTACAAAGGACAGTACAAAAAGAGGGTCAGAACAAAGGGAAGAAGTTTTGGACCTGTTCAAAACCAATGGGACAACCGGATAAGTGCAATTTCTTCGAATGGGTTTGATTGCTTCAATTTCACTTGCCTTTCCTACGAAAGTACGGATTTCTTAGAAGCTGGTTAGATCTCTACTACGATACCTCTTTGATCGTTTGTCGAGTAAGTATGACTAGCTTTTAATGCTGTCATTTCCATATCTGTAAATAATGATCTACGTGTGAAATTGAGGTTTCTTGTGAATAAAATTTATTTCAGGATCTGGGTGACTTCTATGAAACAGGGTGCGGTCCACCATTGGGAGGGGGAGAGTTAGGTGACACCTATTGTCACTGGGCGCGGAATTCTCAATTGACTCATCCATCGGGTTATACAGGGTTAGGCTGTGTAGTAAGTAAGTCTGAGTCATTGTCATTCAGGTTCAGAAAAACTTTACACAAAACTTGGAGCTCTGCCTTCAAAAAAGCCTTACTTACTTGCTCAGTGATGAATTACTGTACACGAATGTTTTGGGAGCCCACGACTGCCTTGGTGGTCCAGCAGATCACATGAATGTTTTTAGTTCCCTCACACTTTTTTTGTACTTGCTTTGACCTAATGTTCCTTGATCAAATGATTTGTTTTCTTTTAATAATTGTATTTTTTATTATTAATAGAGTGTTTTGAGAGGAAGAATCAGAATTAGTATATCAAGATTTGAAAAGAAGAGAGAAGGCTTTGTTCTAATAGTTATGTGTCGGCTGGGTGATGGTAGTTGTTATTTTTATTTCAATGCTATGTCCTAACACATATTTATCTTATAGCTTGAAAGAGTAGGTCCGTTGTCCATCATCCATCACTCAAGAGAATTAATTTGTTTGCGAGGTTTTGCTGAACGGAACGCGGTCAGGACTTTATAGGTATCATGTGCATTTATGACCAGCCCTTTCAATGAAGAGCCCATTTTTGTAGCTGGTAGAGAATAGTTTAGAGAACCTGACGAGGATTTTGTCTGCCTTGGAAATGACAGCTTGTAAGGCTACGACTCAGGATACTTCACCTGAACAGCTTGAAAGTGCCACCACAATAGCCAAAGAGGGTATTTAGCGTCTGCTAGGGGTTGTTGGGCTCATTTATGACCGATGAAGAACGGTTTAGGGTAGAAATGGTGAAATTCTAGCGCGGTTGCTCGAGCATTCCGGGACATGGTCTCATAGAACGTTGTATAACAGCGGAAGGCGGCGCTGCCGCACGCACGAACCGGGATCGGATCCGGGGAGGATGAGCGAAACGACTTACGTAACTGCGAGCCTACCTTATTCATTTCCGGGTTCACTTCACACTCATAGACCTTGCCTAGTTTCAAATGGATGCCAAAAACGGAGGGCTTCCTCTGCCAGAAAAAGATGAGATGAACTTCAGTCGACTTTTTTGATACTTCGCCAAGTGGCCTTACCTATCGGTCTTGGAAACTGAAGAGGATAAGGATAAGGATTAGAAACTTCCTACAGCCTGGTACTTCAGCACCAAATTCTTGAAAGTGGAAGAGAAACCAAAGACATTCCTATACCAAGCAGCTGCTCCTAAAAACAGTATCATCGAAATTAGGCAGAAAAGTTTGTAGAAAGCCAAGGGTCAAGTAGCCTCACAAGAAAGGGTCCATCATGGACGGATGCTCCCTTACCGTATTAACGTCGATCCGGCTTATTCCGAGTAAACGATACGGAGCTGTATCGACTGTCAGCATGTTATTCGGAACGAACGATTCACCCCTCGACCGCTTCGGTCGGTCGGCCGGTCCGTATCGATTGACGTTCGGCCACCCACCTTGCACTGCCTCCGCTCGGCGATAGTCGTCAGTCCGTCAGGTGAGTTCGACCGTCTCAAACTTTCGGCTCATAGTTACTGTCATCATCCATTTCAGTTGTACGACGATGACGGAACCCGCAGATGATCAGGCAGCTCCCACAGCTGATGACAACCTGGTTGGTGTACACCAACAGTTGCGTTGTGAAAACTAACATGATTAATTAGTAAATAAGTTTATTTTTCAGTTAACCCGGCATAAGCACATTGCTGAAAGTATCGAGATGATTCGAAAGAAGAAAGATCAACTACTCATCACATTACGGGGTCTGTCCGAAAGCGAAAACGTAAGTGCTATTGTGTTCTTCGGGTACAGCCGTGGAACCCAGTCCAACTGCTTCTTTTGGTGATTTTTCGATCAATATTTATCTAAGGAATGGGGTGCGGTGACCAGGACGACCTTGCAAATTCCAACTATAATCCGAATTCGTTTGCATTTCGCTCGTAATCGTTCTGCAAATTGCGGGTGAACGACCTTGAGCTGAACTGCTTCAAACGGTGATCTCCTGGTCTGAAGGGGACCACCAATTTCAGGGCGTCCCCTGAGGTAGGGTGAACTAAGTGATTGAAGCAAACTATTAGAAGGAAAGATGGGATGAGGTAGATTGGCAACTGGATGTTGGGGAATGTTGGTTTCCATACTAGTTATCACTAATTTTGTTTGTTTGCCTACTTATTTATTTGTTTATGCGTTCCGTAAGGTACCCACTTTGCGAGTTGTCAAAGTATACGGATTAAAAGTGATTACCGCAAGGCAGAAAGAGTTTTCAGGAGGCCCCTCACTAAACCTTACTGTTGTAGCTGTAAACTAGCACATCCTATTAATGGATTTGCTCATTCTATTCATCAACTGGTTGGACTTTAACTTCAATTTATTTATTTTTCACTAATCTGTGGTGCAGATCATTTAATCATTTCTAATGTCAAAAATTATAATGATTTGGTTGTCAAATATTACGTCAATCAAGCTTTGCTCAGCAGTAGATCCCACCCGAACATGAAAAAGCCATGTTATTCTCTTTTTTTTTCTGTTTAGTTAGGAGTTGGATTCTGACTTTCTAGTTCCTACTAGTTGTTAGGATAAGGTTGTTTGAATAAGTTACCGGACTGCTCTTTTCCATATGAAAGAGTTCGTCCATGGTATAAACCTTACGATTCTTCCTGGTCATATATACATATCATTGGAGTTAATTTATTCACCCTTATGGACCTAATAGCGGGTTCTGGGACGGTGAGCTCAGATGATTACTGCAAAGGAAAAGTACTGTTGTCGGCCCACTGATTCCTTTTTTAATTTCCAAGGTGAAAAGATTACTCAGGTACCCAACTTGGCATGACAATCATACCTGATTCCAGCTTTCTGGTAGCTCGACCGTCCATGGACGGTGTTTTGAGAACCATAGACTCAACCTTCATATTTGTAGAATAGCCTAGCCTATCCCTTGCTTTCTGAGCAAAGCGAGAATTAAGATGACTCGGTGGTTTACCCGAATAAGCTTCCCACAATAGAAGTCTTCTTAGAGCGATGTTGAGTAAAACACTGCAATATCTTCGACTTTACTTCGATTATATTTTTTTACAATATCAAAAATCTAGTTCCAAGATTAATTTCCTGGGAGAAATTTGGCGATTCCAATTAGAAGCTCATTTTTCTGAAAATTCTCTATGACTTCCTCGCCCGGGTGTTTTTTATTTGTTAGGTATCCCATCATTTTTTCAGTAGTAGATGCGCCTGTTGAGTGAGGAAAGTCCCTGCTGGAGCAAGGGGTAATCCTGCTGATCACCAACAATTTTTCGAAAACAGCTTCTCAAATTTTGTCCCTCAACCTTTCTGAATAGGGTTTTTTTTCTATTGAGCTCCCCAATGTTTTTATCCATTCAGTTCACTGCAATTTATTTTAATTCCGCATTCATATCGTTTCTCTTCCTATTTTGCCCTTAATTTTTACCATTTGCTGCTCATTGTATGTATAGGGGATGAAAAGCCAGGTGAGTAATGAGAATGTAACCAAATCGCCTTCGGAATGCGCTGCGCTGTTCGGCCTGTACAGTCGGCNCGGCATTCGTTGACTAGGATTCCCTTGCAAAGCATATGTTTGACTAGCGGATTGGGACCAGTTTATATATGAAAAAGTCACCACGAACAGATAACTAACGGTAATTGATGCTACTCTTTACATTCTTGTACAATCAGGATGGAAAAAAAGCGAAAGGGAGAGGAAAATGTTTTTCATGAACAACGTCATTATGACGTTCACTGATATGGAGGTATCACCCTGATATCTGGCTCCAAGAACTATTTTCATAGAAGTGTGGGGCAGGAATTTTGCGGGTGGAGATAACCGGTTAGTGAGAAATTCGTGCCATTGGTTCTTATTAATCCCCTGAAGCCTATTCAGGTGAAGGACTACAGTTTTGATGGATCAATAGCATGTTGTGAATTCGTAGAACATAGCTAATTTGTAAATTTAGCTGACATCTGACTCACCATACCCGACCCGTTCACCAGAGATGTGTTTGAGCCTATGGGAAAAACTGAGAGTAGGATCTAATGAGTAGAAAACAATTCTGAACTGAATTTTGGACTTGCTTATGGATGGCCGCAGTCACCATCTACAAGAACCAGGGTTTTCCGCGGTCCTTCACTGTGGAAGTAGGGTTGTTATCGTCACGCTAGCCGTCACCTCCTATCAGTGTTTGCGTGAAATGAGTTACTAATTAAGTGGTTTCGGAAAGATGTTAGCCAAACGGCGCGATAAGAAGTCTCAAGTGGGAAACGTGGGCTTCGATGACCTGACGTTCCTAAAAATCACCATGCATTTGTTCTTTGCAGAGGAGCTCTTTTATAATACAATCATGTTATGTTGGTTCCTGGGCAGAACTTGCTTTATAATCTAAAATATGTATATATAAATAAATAATCTTAAATCACAGGTCCAGTCGAAATTTTTAATCTCGTTAAGAATTATGGCAGTAATCAAACGACCTCAAGAGCTGGAAAGTGCAGTTGCTCTGTAAAAATTCTAATTTTGTTTTATAAAAAAGTTGAATTCAAATTTCTACTCTGCGATGCGGAGCTTCATTTCTGGCTCTGGTTGTTTGATAAATTGACTAAAACTTAATTTCTTGAATTGAGGACTAAAAAGAAAAATACATGGCAGTAAATAAGTTACAACCAATAAGGATGGGAGGAGGATACTCGGGTTTACGATAAAATTACCCTA